GCAACTCAATGGGAAAGGAAAGGATTCTGGTTTCAACCGCTGCGTATATTAGCTGCGACATATGAATCAAGATGCTATGACTGAAAACATTTGATTGACAGATGACCGTTGATATATGATTGGCTGAATTTAGGTGTTCAGGCTGACGTAGAACTAACTGGCCTGCAGAAGATAACGGAGGAAAAAACACAGATTTTAAAACAGGATTTTTCTAACTTATGGGACAATATGGTCTGATAAAGAGAACATTTATATCATTTTTTCAGCCAGAATGATTTAATATTTAAATATAATTTCCCTACAACTTTAATAATATTACTGAGGAACGTTTTCTTCAACCAATCAGCTTTCATATTTGATCCAGCTGGAGAATAGACATTGTATACTTAGACGCTTCATTGGCTCTGGCGGCAGCGAAGGCGGACGTGCCTAGAGGGCGGCCATCTTGGATCAGGCCACAGTTTCGACAGCTGCTGTCAGAATGAATAGGAGGCAGCTCACACCTCATTTTAATCACATGAAATATGAGTCAAAGATAATATTACAATAATCTCTTAGATGTCACAACCCCTTAAAAGACCAAAAATAATCTTAAAATCAGTTATTCAGTTAGATTACACCGATTTATTCAGATTAAAAACAGAACTCAAACTGGATGAGATATATGCAAAGCTAGATGTTTTGCAAATAAATATTAATATGATAAATACAAAGTTGTATATTAATATAATAAGATTATGTTTTACTATTATTATATATTTATGTAGTATGTTATGATTATTCTGTATTTTTAAGGATTGCTCTTTGATAATGAGTATTATGATCTATAGACGAATATTTGTTGTAATGTGATTCACAAAAGAGAATAAAGTTATTTTGTGTCTAACTAAATGTTTTTGGTCCTTATAAGTTTGTCTGAACTTCTTCCAAACTCCTTCTCAAACAGTTTTATTTATGAATATGAGACATAATTGTATTTTCAATTGAACTGGCAATAAGGAAGGATGGAGGAATAGATGGACAGACCGTCTGACTGACGGATGAAAGGATAAATACATCCACAAAGGATTCAATGGCTCATAAATAGATAGATGGACTACTTTTCAAATTCCAGATTTCTACGTTTTAGAAAAAGGAAGAAGGAATGAAGCATCCCTTTCTTTTCCCACACCTACCCAGACTTGGACAGTCCTTAAATCGCGCAGCTTTCCAGATCAGCCTGTAAATCAGACTAACTGCCTGTTCATGGTCGGACCGTACAGCCCCTCCCAGACTGCGCAGGCAGCCCTCAGTACAAGCATTGAAAGGAAAAGAGCCAGAAGCGTCTGACAGCAGCAAGTAGCCACTTTAAAACTGCTGATCAAAAACCGATAAACAAGAAACATACCACAAGTTTTTACTGCTTATAAAATAAAACAGGAGGTTCTGATCAAAGCAACACGCACTGACTAGAAAGGACTATTCTGAACCTTTAAGAAGGATGAAGATTTTCCACAATAAAATGATCAGAACTGCTTGTGTTTATGTCCGAGTCTCTGTTCGGCATTTACAGGATTGCTTTACACGCTTTGGTTTCTTTTCTTACCCACTAACAGCTCCGTCTCTAAACTTTGAAGCCACATATTGAATCTAATGGCACTAAGACAGACGCAGTCACATGTCTACAGCTCAGCCTCGGCTGCGCAGCTACCAGGAGCGCTGGGACTGTTAAGAATCAGACACGCATGCAGACGCCTGGCACTGAGCTTTATGGGATGGACTAAGGATGAGCAAAGCGTGTCACACGCACACATTCAGTGGCACTAACCTGCGAGTGCGGACTGGTACCATGGAGATTGGTTGATTGGTCTCAATAACAGGACTCTGTTTCTGTCTCTCGCTGCGTAACTGGAGAGGAATATAAACAGACATAAACAGAGAGAACATTCCCTGCCGTAGCAGCATCAATCAGACCGGGTTCATCCAAGCCGCTGAGTATGGCAGCGCTTCATGGCAGACTCACAGCGTTCTGTTTCTTCTGCAGCTCCTCCAGGGCGTCCACCAGGTTCTCGTCTGCAACGTCTAGAGGCGTTTGCCCCTATAAGGATATTAGCATCAGATTATCAGCTGCGACGGATAATGAAGAGGAAGCAACTGATTTACTGCAGGCGGAGTCAGAGGGCCTCACCACGTTGTTGACGGCGGCCATGTCACACATGTGGTCAGCGAGCAGGGTGCACACCTCCTCCTGTCCCCAGTGAGCTGCTGCATGCAGAGGCGTCCAGCCGTCTACGTCTCTGCAGTCCACATCCACCCTGCACTGTAACAGCACCCTGACGGCGTGAGGAAGAACAGGAGGAGCAGTAAATAAATAAACCGAAACAAGACAACAGTCCCTCATCTGAGTGTTTCGTCTGAAACAATTCTTACTTCAAGACTTCGATGTAACCTTTGGCTGCGGCGACATGCAGGGCGGTCGCCTTGGTGTTGGGGTGAGGCGTCAAAGAGCCGCCTCCTTCCAGCAGCGCCCTGGCATCCTGGAGCATGATCCTCTCCTCCTCCTTTCGGGCTTTATCCACATCTATCCCTGTGGAATAAAAGTGAACAAGGAACAATGAAAAAAATTACATTTTCATAATACATTTAGCTAAAACATAAACAATTTTTACATTTTTGGGGGGGCAGAGGGATTCTTCAGGAACCTCAGGGGAGTACTTGAATTGGGAAGTGTTGTGTCAGATCAACATACGCCGACAGATCAGCATACGCCGTCAGATCAGCATTAGCCGTCAGATCAGCATTAGCCGACAGATCAGCATACGCAGTCAGATCAGCATACGCCGTCAGATCAGCATTCGCCGTCAGATCATCATTCGCCGTCAGATCAGCATACAAAGTCAGATCAGCATACGCCGTCAGATCAGCATTCGCCGTCAGATCAGCATTCGCCGTCAGATCAGCATTCGCCGTCAGATCAGCATTAGCCGTCAGATCAGCATTAGCCGACAGATCAGCAT